GCTATATGCAAACAGAATTTAGAAACAAGAGCAAAAATTTGTCAGCTCCACAATGAGTGTAACAAATTAATGGGACTGTCAACTTGAAAATTTTCACTTTGACTGTCAATGTCATGCAAGGCTGACTATATTCATATCAATTAGTTAACCTATCCTTGCAAAATTTATACACTATATTTTTTTTGTAAAAAAACAAAATATGGCAGTTTAAATAATGCTCAGTCTTTACAGATGTTAGCCCTCTTAAGGATGTGATAGCTTGAAGTGAAAAGTTTATATACATCTCAGATACCTATTATTTGGATTTTGAGACTAGATATTAGAAAATGTCAAATTCTGATTGTGCATGCCAAGCAAAAGTTGCAGATGTGCAGAATATCTCTATCTTAGTTAAATCTGAAGTTCTGTATAGATGGATTTTCATGCATGTCTTAGACAATGATAAATAATAAACAGCTGGAGGTTTATTATTCCATTGCAATCAATTCTTTATCAAATAGTGTATAAACTTACAGACATAAAAACACCAATCATCATGATCATTGGCCAATGTCTCAACAAATTCTTGCCAAATAATGGTTCTGTCAAACTTATTTAAAATGAAACATTGAAAATCATCTACAACATTTCAAATCTAATGAGTTCTGGCAACTATGTTTTTCAAATTGTTGTAAAACTATTTTTCTGTTGCAAAAAAATTAAGCTTAATGAATATATAAGACCCTAATTTTTTCATGAATGATTACAAAAGAATACCAAAAACTTAAAGAAATAATGAATTGTGGAGTCAAATTTTTATAAAGGATTCAGTTATTATCTGTACTTTTTTCTGATTTAAAAAAAGTAAATTTCAATCACATTTACCGGTTTTCTTCAAATTTCATTTATACCTTGAAATGGTCCAAAATATCACAAAAATCCAGCAGCTGCAGTCCAAAAGAATATTTTGCAGTAATTTAAAACTAACTTTATTAAAGTTTCACCAATCTAACTGGTCCATTGGGAAAACTGCACAATTTTTGTCTTATCTAAATTATATACTGTAAATTCGGAAATTATTGCGATGTTTTTATTGTTGCTAAAAATGCGACAGGGTTATAATCGCAATAATTTAAACTCGCATTTAGAAATTTCTTGTATAATTAAACAGGATTTTTCTCAATATCGCAAAAATTAAATTCCCATATTAGTCTAAAATGATAAAATCGCAATAATAAATGCACGCAATAATTTTTGAATTTACAGTACACTATTTGGATCAGTCAATTTCAATTTGGTGACAGATGTACGCAACATTACAATAACTGATGAAAATAAAATTGGTGCAACTGCAAAAAAACTGACGAAATAAAACCAAGTTTAAAAATTCTTTTTAAGTTCATTACCAGGACCATCCAGGTGAGTCACTCAACATCTTTGGTGGCAGTGGTGACTGTATTTACCTGTATCTTGACAACTGATCAGTGCATGTGGCTGTACTTTTTGCCACTTGTTCCACTGGCAAAATTTAGCATTTCTATCTTCCAAATAACTGATTGACATTATCAATTTAACAAGTTGATTTATCATGGATTGAGAGAAATGATGGCAAAGATTACTTTACAATACTGTACTGTTGATAAGGAACTTTCAATGGTGTTTTTAAATGTGGTGTAAACATTGGAGATCAACGTGTACTTTGTGAAAAGTTTAATCTGCAAGAAATGAAGATGGCCGATTGATGAAAGGTCAGTACGACAGCAACACAAATAATGAAAATAACAACATGTAATATATGGCAACAATGTGACTTTTCTTTGAGAGTAAACACAATATCTATTTACAGAAACTGATTCAAAAAATTTACTAGAATCAGTCTTCACATTGAATTTGTCTTAAGAAAATGTAATACATAATGCAGAGTGGTATTGTACAGAAACTTGAGAAACATTAATGATCATCCATGCAAAAATGCTTGACTAGGAGATAAATCGTGTAAGAACTCATTCTTCATAGTAAAACTTCCACCAATTTACTGCATAATTGAACATTTAGTTTTCACTGACCATGAAATGTAAATCTACCTGTACATTCAATTGTAGTTAATTAATGTCAAGACTCCTAAATACATAAATTAAAGTGAATTACTAATTAATTAACATGATTTATAAACTCAATTTATCAACAACCTATACTTAACTAAGCCAAAAAAATCTTGACATTAAAAGTATTTCAAGCAACTCATCAAATATTTTCCCTAAATAATGTTATAAGTTAAACTTTTTAAACAAATGTTTCTACTTGCCTTAGCCTGACTTTGAAGTATGAGGTTTTATTTCTTATTTTATTTCCTTTACTCTTTGAAGGAAATTGTATAGTGAATTATAAAACTGTCTCAGAAAAAAAATCATTAGTAACTGTTATATAAGGGCAATTCTATTTTAGGGTTCGTTTGACCTAATATTAAATTAAACTCATAAAATAAACAAATTTTAGCACAATACTCTTCATGGAGAAAGCAATAAAACATATTATATTGGACAGATCTCTCTAACTCAGAAAACAAAACTGTCTTTGTTTTCTCTACAAAAGTACAATGTAACCCACTGCATACCAGAACTCCATTATTAGTAATAAAGTACTGACAATCCAAAATATTGACACAAGATTTTGCTATTTTAATTTAGAGGTTACATGTGATATTTTATTTATTTAACAGAAATACCAATATTTTTAATAGAAATAACTGGTGGTAAATCCATCACTCCTTATGTTTGTTAGCATGAAATCAAACATCAATACCAAAGCTGGTGAAGAAATCAGATGAAAATGCAAATAGTGTCACCTTCCTGATCAAGCTACATTCATCAAATAAATTAAATCACTTCATTTTCTCAAATATTCTCAAGTCATCAATCAAATTTCTGACAAAACAATTTGATCAGGGTTTACAATCGGGAGAAATTCTATCCCCCATTACAAAAGCAGGTTTATCCAGTACATTACAGCTTTGGCACATACATTTGGTGTATGACTTCATCCATATAATAATGTTGACCAAGAAGGTGTTGTTATCAGGAAGCCACTAATTGATTTTTGATTGAACAACTATTTTTTTAATCATTTAATCTCTGATTTGTCACAATACAAGTTTTTATGACCAGTGCAGTTGGTTTCATTAGATTTTAAAAATCTGTAGTTGAGCCATATGAGTAACCTGATTGTTTAAAATTTTTAATTTATTTTTATATCCTGGTGCTTTTGTTTGAAAGAAGGATATATTAAAAATTTCTATAAAATAATGCCATGAAGTGCAATTTTCATTAGGTCATATGAATATGGGTGGACCTACCAGACAAAATCCATTCCATAAAACATTAAAAATATCTTTAAAAATATGAAACGGAAAATAAAATGTAGATACTATAATTTATCATTATATTCTGTTTATTTTTATTCAAAACTCAGTATCTTTATTTGAATGATTATCATGGTAAAAATCTGGCTATTATCAAATTATAACAAATCCAAATGGACTGTCATAACAGTTATGATTTACAAGTATTTCGTTGTTCTGACAAATCTTAAAGTTGAATTCTGTTTCATTTTAACTGATGTTCTTATTTGCTAGATAGATCTGTCTTGCAATCTGGATGGAGGTGGGGAACAAAACAAGAGACATTTTCATGAAAAAAATCATAACATACTATTGTGTGCTTGCTTTTTTCATATTTTGTTCCCTAAATGCAGAATCAAAATCAAACTTAAAGATGTCATAAAAGAACTGCTTTGTTCACATATTCATGCCTTCTCTTATTAGAATGACAATCACATGACTGCTTACTGTGGATTCATTATTATTCGTTGGATACCGATTTTCGTGGGTATCGTGGATACAGGTGAACCACGAATTCAAATGTTCAACGAATTACAAATTTTCTATAGGTTTTGTATGCACAGATTGGCAAAACCACGAAATCAAATATCCACGAAAATACAAGTTTTCCTAAATCCACGAAAAATTGATACCCACGAAAATAAATGAATCCACAGTAAATATGTATCAAGCTGTAATTTGATTGTTTGTTGGTGTTTAAACACCACTTTCAGCGCCCTTAGTTATATCATGGCAGCCTGTTTTTATTGGCTGGAGAACTAGTGGAGAGAACCACCAACCCTCAGCAGGAAAACAGACAATCCTCACCAGCAGGGGTCAATATCACATCCTCAGAATTGAAAGGCTAGTGGCCACTGTAAATTAACTACTTAGACCACTGGGGGCCACATTAGGCCCCACTATCTGTAATAGATGGAAAATCAACATCATCTGCTTAAATTGTGCCCCTATGTACAATATTGCTATCCTAGTGGTATTCTCAACGCAGATTATATTCAGTATATATGTCAAGCAAACTTAAATAGCTGCCAACAAAATGTTCAATTATTTCCTTTCACTTGGTCTAAGAACATGATGAGTAATTAGCATGGTATAAAAAGGCTAGGTGTCCAAAGGAAAATGAGAGGCTGTAAATTGGTCAAGTTTTATCAAAGGCATGTGTGAAACATCTGGTTCAAATGTTAATCTTCCTAAATGCATTCCTAATCCAGTGTAAACATAGGTCATAAATGAATCAGTACCTGATATAAATGTAATTTGGGTGTCTGAACATTTACAAGCCAGTTTATCCTTCAAACATTTTGTGTTGTAAGAATAAACAAAGCTAGCTATACATGTAGCTATACATATAGCTATACATATAAAATAAATGTTTTTTTTGTAGTTGTTATTTGTGTTTTTAATTTGATACAAGATGCACCTTCAAGTGATCTGGTATTCAATCTTGTTCAAGTGGTACATTTCAATTATAAACTACTAGATGACTTGAGATCTATAAAAAATCTTCCCATTTTTAAAGTTTGTATTTTAAAAATGTATTTTATAACTGTAAGTATTAGTACCTGATTTCCACCTCCTTTTGAAACATTTCTGCATTACATTGCACATGTAACTGAACCCTTACCTGTGAAAAATTCAGATCATTTAATGGAACACATTGCTCTTCTACCCGTTCTATAGCACCCGTAACTTTGCTTTCCCTCTCTGCAACCTGAGCTAAATATAGATCTAAAACTGGAATTCCTCGAGACTTGATATCATGTTCATTCAAAGAATTGACCATTAACATAACCCATACTGGCCGTTTCCTCTCCCAATTTCCAGCTATAGCATTGAACAAATAATCTGCATATAGTCCTCGACCTTTCTGATCGGCTGTCATCCAAACTGGTAACATTACTCTAACATATTCCAAATGTTGTTTTAATCGTGTATAAATTTCGGCTGGCAAGATATTGGCTAATTTTTCTCCCCCTGGGAGAAGCTGACAATTTGCTAATGCAGATACTGTGTAAGGGTTTGTCAATTCTAATTCAAATACAATATTGTCAGACTGATCAAAAGCCATTTTTGTATTTTCTGGAATGTAGTCCCATACCCTAGTATAGGGTACATGTATTGTTCCGAAGAAATATGCTGGTGGGTCTCTCTTCACTTTCCACAGGAAAGAATTGTAAGACTTTGACTGAAAAAAATTTAATAGGTATAATAATAATGAACTCAAAAGATAGACAGAACAAATTTCATCAAAATATTTTGTGTAGATTAAAAATTCCTTCAGTGTTTTCAGTAATAAGGACAATTTGGTTCTTAAAACATTCAAAGGTCAAGAGGCAAAGAAAGCTTTAATTCTATTTGGCATGAACGAACAGTAATGACATAAGCTCTTTAGAGCTTTTTACACCAAAATGATTTTAAGTTTTGTTGAGAAGACTTTTTTTTACATACATTTTGATGAGACAAAGTTAACTATTGACTAAGTTGACGATTGGATATTCCGTTTAGGTCCCTTTTGATTATATATAATTCCAAACGTATTCATTCTAGATCCAAGCACTCCTATTGGTTAGTTTAAACAAGAAAAGCACTTTGGTTGCAGAAAATTAACTATGATGCATCTTTGGTGTAAAATATTGCAGTTGTGATATTTTTTAAGCAATAAAATTGTTTCAATTTGTCTTGCAGAGACCTGAATCATCATTTCTATTGAATGTATTTTTTATTTAGGACTGTATACAAGATGGTAAAGACATAAAAAGAACAACAAATTTAGCATGCTTTTGCAATCATTTTTCAATGTATACTGCAATATTTGATATTTCAGGTTTTTTGTGCTGTAGTTGTTGTAATTCTGTCTTGTTTCATAAAAACAATTTTGTGTAGGACCTTTTTCTTGAATTTCCACCTTGACTTTATGCATTTTTCTAACTACTCAGACCACCCCCAATAATTGAGTGAAGGAGGGTATCTGACATATACATAATACAATATAGACATATATACAGTACAACATACTGTACTCCTTATGTACGATAAATCAATCAACTTTCCTCTGAAGTTGAATCCTAAATTATTATTAACAAACATTATAAAATTATTACATGGACATTAAATGATTAATACGTTTTAAATTTTACACTAAAGTCACTCCTTGAAACCAATAAAACATCAAAGGGTTCAATGAGAAAATGGTAATGATAACTCCAGATTTTACATACAAACAAACTATCTTTTTAAGTACCTTTTTGTACATCAAAGAAGGCAGGTATCTGTTAATTACATTACAACAACTAATTAAAATGAAGTAATCTTATTCTAACAATAATATCAATAATTCTGTTAGAGTCATTTCAGGAGATGTTTAATGGTTTCTTGTATGTCATATTTTCCTTGACATACATTGAATTGGCTGAAAGTCATGATAGTCTAAGAATTTTATTTAAGTATTTATTGAGCAGATATGGTCAAATTCTGAATTAAAATATTTAAAAAGTATTCCTAAAATATATGAAAGACTTTGATGTAGAAAACTGCATGTATATAAATTATGTATATTCTTGGATAGAAAATACATGTATGCAAGAATGTACATTATGACTTATTCTTTATTAGAAAACAAGCCATCATACAATATGAATTTTGCTCATTGTTGAGGCTGTATGGCAACCTGTTTACATCAATGTCCTTCAATGAATAGTTTTCTCATTGGCAATCATATCCCAACCTTTAGTTTATAGATAATGTCCAATGTTTTACTAAGATTGGGTAAACAGGAGCCTGTAATTCAGTGGGTTTTTTTTGTTACTGTATATCATATTTGCTTTTTCGTCTCTTGTTTTGTACATAAATCAGGCCATCAGTTTTACATTATGTTATGTCAGGGCATATTATAGCTTGATTTGTGGTATTGGATTTGCTGATTGTTGAAGGCTGTATGGTGGCCCATAGTTGCCAACATTTACATTATATGGTCTCTGGTGGATGGTTGCCTCATTGGCAATCATAAAATAGAAAATGAAAGGATATGGAGTAAATGTACATGGGACAAAATCGCACACAATACATAGAAAACATAGAAAATTATCAATGAACAGGGCTTTTATTCCTGTTCTTCATCTTGACAGTTGATGTAGGGTCTTCAACAAAGAACATACCATATCTCCTTTATTTCATATCAAACTGATTTTCAAAACAAAAATGTGACTTATTTAAGAAGGGAATCTTAGGAACATATAACAGATATCCCTAAACCAAAACGACCTAATAAAAATATGCATAGGTTGTTTCAAATACTACTGTATGATTGGTTGTCTCCCTTTCTATCAAATAAAATACTGTAGTAATGTAGTGAGTACATGTCTTTGCAAAAATTATACAACATCTCTGTGAATCAACCTACTACAGAGTAAATCTTTGTCATTAAATATCATATTCCTTTTTAAACTTCCCATATAATTAGTTTGATTGAAATGTGAAATTAAAATGTCTAGATTGAGTTTCTTTTACCTGATCAAGTTTAATTTCAAACTAACAATGTTAATATGCTATCATGCAAATTTAATTCATCATAATGAAGGTAAAAGGATCAATTTCTTGTATTTCATAGTGACTTTTATTGAAAAAAAAATTATCTCCTCATCTTATGTTTCACAAGCGAAAGATCTTTTCAAATGATATACTGGGCATATACCTAGATATATCTTAAGATAAAAATGTATAAATTACATTCATTTAAATGTTTTTACTTTGCAGAGTAAATTTACAAGGAGGGGAACACATCATGAAGGGGTCATTTATAAATAAAATACAGTTATTAAATTTTAATCTACATATTTAAACACCTTTTGAAGAATATCAATACACGTTTTGACCTAGAATTTTGATAAATTTACCATAAATTACCTTTGATTAAAAAAGAATACTTTGGTCACCATGTTGTCAATATATACAAAAAAGTTGTAATCTTTTTAAGCCAAAATTGAGAGGTTGAAGTTTGTCACTTAACAACTCTTCATCTTAAACAAAGTACACTAAGTCAAATATAAAATTTTATAGTTACCAATAAATTTCATCAAAAGTCCTACATATGAAATCCATTAACTCTTGTATAATATTTCAAAATGAAAACATGTGAAAGGGATAGAATCTAAACATCTTTTTTAAGTTCAAAAGGTAAAATTGCATTTACAGTAAGCCAATGTTTCACATAATTTGAACAAGAATGCAACCAGTATCTGAGGACAAGAAATTAACCTATTTTCCTGAAAATACAAGTGAACAATTATCTGGGCCTCCTATTATTTTTCATACATTTTACATATTTTTCTATATGACAGATAAAATAATACCACAAAAAGTAAAAGAAACAAACTTTAAATATCCTCCAACTTTTAAAATGTATCTAGAAATATTTTCATTAAAGCTTAATTGTATAAATATAGATTCTACCACTGCATCAAGTGTGATACGATATTTATCAACTCGAGACGGTTAAATTTTCAAATTTAAAACGTGAGGCTCGCCGAGCGTTTTAAATATTTAAAATTTAACTGTCGAGAGTGGATAAATATCGTATTACACGAGATTTGGTGGTGGAATCTGTTTCTCTAATGATTTGCAAACAATATGCAGGCAGACTTACTCCTTCTTTTTGAATGATCTGCAAAAAGATGTGTTATCTCTATGTGACGTCATCAGGCGTGGTCGCCTTTTTTCATGCCGTCACAATAGGAAATTCAGAGGAAAGCAAGAAAATTCGACGTCATAATCGGATTTTAACCAATGAAGAACTGAGATCAAACAAACCACACGTTGATTAAATTTTTTTTATACAATGGGTGCAGAAAGGGATAAATTGACGAAGAATTAGAGAAAAATGGATCTTTGCATAGGGAAACTTGTGCTTAAGGAAAATACCAAATTGAAACAAACTTGAACTTATATCCACATCGTTTGGTGTCTGGTGGATAGTTGTCATAGCACATCTACTTATTTTAAATTTGAATAAATTGAGATGTGAGGTATTACACCAATGTGGCAGGAATACAAAAAATACATCTTAAGGTTAACATGAATTAAAAAGTGTGAATAAAATGAGATGTAGAGTAAACATCACTTGTTTCAGCTATTCCCAAAATTGAACAGCAGAACTAAATACAATTAGCTGTATGGTAATTCTTATAGTCCTCTCCCTTTTCAATGTGAAGGACTTCTTTTTTCATTTTTTGCAAGTTTGACATCTAAACAATTTGATTTGAATTAGTTGCACTTATACTTTAGAATCAGTTCCTTTTTGACCTAAAGATTAGAAGTCATTCACATTTAACAGTACATACATTATTTTACAACAATGTCCTTCTAATTTATCACATTCTTTTAAATATTATTTGACATTTCAACAATTTATTTGACAGTAATTGAGTATTTTAATTTAACAGGTTACCATTTTAAACATCAAAATAACTTAACTTGTTTAATGGTCAATTAATAGAATACAATAGGTTAAAATTGTGATAGTTGAACTAATTAACCCATGGCCATACCCAGTCCATGTTTATCATACTTTGACATTTGTAAGTGTGACAATTGTAAAGTACATGTACATTTATTTTCACACTTAACAATACTATTAATCAATTAAAAAAAAATCAGAGAAAATATAAATCTGAATTTCTATAATTCACTTTATTTAAGCTATATATAGTTTGTTCTTTACACTAAGAAATTCATATTTACTTAAAGAGTTTTTCAAGTCATCTTTTTGTATTAAATACAATAACAGGGCGATTCCAAAGATCACTTTAAAGGGATTTTTGTATTTAAAAGAGTAATGGGCGGGGGCTTCAATAACCCAAAGGTTTCACGTTCCCCATTATATTCTGCTAATTTTGTGAAAAAGGGGGGGTCCGTTTGCACTCTTCCCCGAGTAAATAAAAGGAATAAATGATAAACCTACCTGATCGTGTGTATCACACTGGGTGTTCAGATCAGCTAATGTACACCGAAGACAAAACCAGAAAACAATAAATACATAAATCATTTTTGTTCATCTTTTCCATTTAGAAAATAACACTCTTAAAATCATACGATATGCGCTAAGTAAACTCCATTCTCGTAAGTTTCTAATCATCTTTGCGTATGAATGAATATAAATCCATTTTGTTCGGTTCTCTATAGTATGCTGTTCTTGTAGTACGCTAATCCACGGTCAGATCGCCAATATTGTTACGATAACTTGTCCATCAAAATTAACAGCCGTCTGATTGGCCGTTCCATAATCCGTATACAAATAGGCTTTGGATGTTGTTGCACCTACGGACAACATTTAAAAAGTCAATAAACCTATATTTACATACAAAATGAAATATTATAAGCTGAACGTGTGATAAACTAGCGTGCTTATTTTAGAGAAAAGTGTATCACGTAAATGAATTACAATCTTGTCGCGAATGAATTACGAGAGAAATTGCTTTTTTGTGTGGTAATCTAACGAAAAATCACTCGGCGTAAATTTAATAATCCTAACATTCTTATGTTCTTCGGTATTTTACCTGTTAAAGGGCTCGAGTAGTATTTCATCTTCTAAATGTCACGTTCATAAAAAGGATGTCTATTTGTAAATTGGAACTTCAAAATATCTGTGACTTTTTTTAAATTGTAAATTGGAACTTCAAGATATGTAATGTTTTATTAATTATAAATTGCAAACATAATGTCTTTTTGTAAACTGGAGCTTCAAAATATCTCAAATATTTTTATATAAATTAGAAAGTTCAAAACTGTAAAATGAAGCAAGGATTTTTCCTTGACTGGAGATATAACACTTATATCAGATCTGGCAAGTTATATTGGTCAGAAAAATTCGAAAGATTATTTTCATAATGAGATTTTCCGTAAGAGGACTCGCCGGTGTCCACTTATGAGTCGCGTGTCTTTTACAATTAAGTAGATGCTTATGACCAATTCAAGTAGTAGTCTCAGTAGCTGCCGACCATTTTTGTGTCATATTACAGCACAACAAAAACTGATAATTGGCGACAATATTTTTGTCCCAGAACAGATGGCACTATTCCGATGAAAGAAATGATTTGAAGTACCATGATCAAATTTTAAACATCCTTGTTCAAAATTGAATTAAACATGTGGCCTCTGTATGTAAAAAGGGAAAACTAAATTCAAGGTTCTCAATCACAGATATTCGGACATTTCATGGACGCGTTACGTACGTTTTCGCGATTTTGTCCTACGTTTGCGCGAACAATTTTCCATGTTTTCACGACAAAACACATTACGTTTTTTGCGCGAAATTTACTTTTTGAAAAGTTACTACGTTTGCTCGAATCAATTAAATTTTCTAAGAATAAATAATTCAAAATTCGTCAACTGAAATTGAAAAGTGGCCAAGTTTAAGCACGGCCAGGATTTCTGGTTGTCAGTTCTTCCTGCGGTGAAAGTTTGGGGCAGTTTTGTAGATGATTTCATGTCAAATGTTACTTAGAATGAAAGCCGCAAACTATTTGCCAACTACTTAGTTAAAAATTACGTCACCAGTAAGTATATAATACCTCCAAGAATGTGGACGACTGTTCCAAATAAAAGCACAAAAGTCACAACAAGGACTGACTTATATATTGTTCCTGTGGAGATTACATACTGTGTTTATTCTGGCAGAATAAGGATGATATACTTATGATGTTCCCTTCCAAGAAAGAACAACTTTTTGTATTCCAAACTTTGCTATTCTTCATACATGTAATGTTTTTTTTAATGTTTATATAAACGGACAAAGACCTCTTTGATTATTAAAGTTATCTATTAATATACTTAATTTAAAAAAAATATCATAAATTTCAGGTTATTCTCAGGATAAAAACACAGATAAAAACTCAAGTAAATTACAGGTACATTCGCGCAAACGTAATACCTGTCAAAATTCAAATTCGCGAGACCCACATTTGCGCGAATTTGGGGATTAATTTTTTTACGTTTGCGCGCAGCTTTTGATTACATTTACGCGCATTCATTTTACAGGTAACACAGGTAAAAATAAAGGTAATTCATAATAAATATGGCTATAATATATTAATTTTTAGCTCACCTGGCCCAAAGGGTCAAGTGAGCTTTCCTCATAAGTGAGCTTTCCTCATCACTTGGCGTCCGGCGTCCGTTGTCCATCGTCGACTTTACAATAATCTTCTCCTCTGAAACTACTATGCCAAATTAATTAAACTTGGCCTAGATCATCCTTAGGGTGTCTTGTTTAAAAAACGTATCCTATGACCCCGCCCATCAACCAAGATGGCTGCCATGGCTAAAATAGAACATAGGGGTGAAATGCAGTTTTTGGCTTATCTCTATGAAACTAACGGGTCTTCAGTAACTATATTGTAAGACTACAATGGGATGACCTGCTTTAAATTTAACAACTGGGCCGAATCAAACCAAACTGGGCCGAATTAAACCAAACTTGTCCTCAATCATTATAAGGGTATCTAATACTATTTATTATGATTTTAACCTTATTTTACATGATTTCCAAAACCACAGTAGATACAGGTGAGCGACACAGGCTCTTGAGAGCCTCTAGTTATAATAAATATGACTATAAGTTATTAATTTTGGAAATATCTGTTAATTCAAATTATATATTTTTCATATTGACTTCTAAAAAAATATATATAGTGATCAAGAAATCCCGTAATAGCTTAGGGCAAACATGTAATTTCAGAGTAAATAGTATTCTGTTTCCTAATTTTACCTAATAGTGATCGCTTATAAATTAGTAAATAATTTAAGTCAGTTTGTAAGGTTGCGCCAAGGCACAAACATGGAGTTTTGTTTGTCAGAAACAAATCGGGGAAAAATACCAGGATAAAAACTGATGAACATTCAAGTGCCATTCTAAATGGTAACTGTGAACATACACATGAGTCTGATGCTAGAAAACTTGAGAGGCAGATTATCCGTGTTGTTGTAAATAAAAAAGCGACAGCAGACATAACTGCTAGGCCTATGAAAAAAGTAAAATCACATAAATACTGAACTCCGAGGAAAATTCAAAACGGAAAGTCCCTAATCAAATGGCAAAATCAAAAGCACAAACACATCAAACGAATGGACAACAAGTTAACTGTCATATTCCTAACTTGGTATACAGGCATTTTCTTATGTAGAAAATGGTGGATTAAACCTGGTTTTATAGCTAGCTAAACATCTCACTTGTATGACAGTCGCATAAAATCCCATTATATTGACAACGATGTGTGAACAAAACAAACAGATATAATAGGTAAAAATGTCAAAAATAGGGGTACAGCAGTCAGCATTGTGTTATAATCTCAATCACTATAAAAACAAAAAAATATGTAACAAAGAAGCACAAAAAGGCATATAGACAAAGCACATTAGCAAAAATGAAAGACAAGAATACAATAAATTGCTTCGACGAGCGCAGCTGGATACGACCGCAGAGGTGCAACCCTGAACCGAGTTGGGGCAAAAATAGACGCAATATTCGCGCTTGATACAAGTCTGAATTTGGATTGTAATTAAATATTTGACACATAAAAGGTTTCTGACACAGAATAACTGTAGTCAAAGAACTTAGAATTGGTTATATGATTTGAATTTATATTCAATTTTTTGCTTTTGTGCAATGCACATTGCTGTTGCGAATTGACCCCCCCCCCCCTCCCCCCACCAAAAACAAAAATGTACCCCCCCTTTTTTTTGCTTTTGTGCAATACACTATGCTGTTGCGTTTTAACCCCCCACCCCAAACACTTTTTTTTTGCAAAAAAAATATTTGAAGAATTTTTCTTTTTAATTTCTGAAATCTGAAATGAGAAAAAATTGACCCCACAATTTCTTTTTACCTCCCCCCCCCCTTTCCCCCCCAAACAATTCTTTCCCTCAAGATATGGTCATCATCTCAATTCAAATTTCCAATGGAATTTGCAACCATAACCACCCATTTAAATTTACCATAGTGCTAACTTAATCTATTTTATAATAGAATTTAAAATATGGTGTCAAATCTTTCATATGGATTTTGTAAAAAAAAAAAGATGCAACATTTGCAGATATTTTTACTGGTCTTCCTTTATAAATATGCATTTCTTTAAACATAATTTAGAAGCAGTGTAAGGGAGGTAATCAAAACGTTGTATTTGGATTACCTCCCTTACACTGCTTTTAAATTGTCTTAATTGTTCATTAACCATTACTTTATACATAATTTAAAAGCAGTGTAAGGGAGGTAATTCAAATGATGTATTTGAATTACCTCCCTTACACTGCTTTAAATTATGTTTTGTACTAAAGTATTTGTCCATTAACCAGGACACCCTTGTTTTCCCCCTTTTTTGCCCCTAATTCCTAAACGGTTTGAGCCATAACCCCCCAAAGCAAATCCTAACCATCCCTTTGTGGTATGGAAACTTGTGGTATAATTTCAGAGAGATCCATACACCTTTATTTTCGGCCCCTTTTTGGCCCCTAATTCCTTAACTGTTGGTACCATAACCCCCAAAATCAATCCCCACCTTCCTTTTGTGGTATTGAACCTTATGGTAAAATTTCATAGAGATCCATTCACTTTAACTAAAGTTATTGTGCGAAAACTAATGTGTCTTCGGACGACGACGACGACGACGCCAACTTCATACCAATATACGACCGTCGTATAAAAATTTACCATGGCACAATAACACAATGACGGGGTGTTTAAGTACAGAGCTACGTCATATGTAAAAAAGAAACACAAAAAGGCATATAGACAAAGCATATTAGCAAAATTTGAAAGACAAGAATACAAAAATTATCATAGAACAATAACACAATGACGGGATGTATAAGTACAGAGCCACGTCAAATGGATATCACCAAAAACAGACTAAACAGTAAAAGTAATATTCATAAAGACAAATAAAAGAATACCATAACACGTTATTAAGATGATAAACAACGCCAGTACTCATAATCTAGACTTCAAGACCATCGTGCATTATTTGTGAAATTGATACGGAATATTTATCAACAAGGTCTTGGTACCTTCCGATGAACTTTTTTAGAAAAAGGACGTGACGTTCTTTGACATTACCCCTGGTTTATCAACTTTCTATTCAGAAACTGGTAACGTTTTACAAAGTCTGAGTAGGAGCTGCAAGCTCTTGAATACCGAATAAGTTGGGAAATGTATATCCCATATGCAGGTGAAGTTGGTATATTGCTACTAAGGTGGGGAAAATTGATAATTTCAAAATTAAAATCGTCTCGTTTGTCATAGATTCTGGTACTGAGATGACCGTGTATGTCAAATTCGAGGTATAAGTCTAAAAATGAGGCGGAGGAGCCGTGTCTGTTGTTTCTTTAATTTCTAGTTCTGGGGATATATTAATGGAACCCAATCAGAAAAGTTTGGATTGTTAATGGAA